GGTACCGTTGCAGCAGCAACAGCCATAATATTATATCAATATAATAGGTTAGGGTTATGGTTAGGATTAGGGTTAGAATTAGGGTTAGGGTTAGGCACATTGGTTTTATTGGGACCCATGTTCTCTATCCTTGGGCCGTTAGGGCCAGGGTTAGAATTAGGGTTAGGGTTAGGCACATTGGTTTTATTGGGACCCATGTTCTCTATCCTTGGGCCGCACAAACTATGTTGAAAATTGACAACGAAACCGCTCCCACTGCTCCCACGACACGAGAAACGGCTCACAGATTGACAGAACGCAAAATGATCGGGCTGTTCTTTACTTACTTTTAATTTTCTGTTTAAAATGTAGTTATATTACTTAGAAAATTGTTTTCATCCTTATATTGTTTTCTTCTGTGTACAGGGCTGCCTTGAGAGTCTTGTTAATCAAGAGCATTTCAATGTTCAAGATTCTACTGAAACAAAAGCAGGTATGAACTACCTAGGCTATAGCTATAACGCATGTAAGACTATGAAGTATGTATTACTATTAGTATTAGTAGTACCTCCAGTGTATATAGTTATTAGTAATACTATTACTAATAACTATATACACTGGAGGTTTCTGTTATTAACTTGCTTCAATTTTTACAATTGTATACATTTTTTGTCATTGTTGTCATCATGTCATGTTTAGCATGGGAATGTGCAAATCAATGATGTACGTAACGTGAATGGTAGTCCAAGACATTTTGTTTGTACTATACTTGGATCTTGGTGGTTATGACAAATTAATGTGAGTGTGCCAAAACGTGCATGAATATAAACTAGCAATACTTATGCCTGGTAATTGAGCATTTTAAATGTTAAAATAATGGCACATTTGCAAACCTGCATGAACGAAACTTCCTTCATATATCTGCATTACCTTTGCTTGTATCTGAATAGCTGATGTTGCACTTGCATGATGCATCCGTAACAATTTTTCATGACACCGAAATATATTTTAGATGTGGAGAATGCTATCACCAAGTTCCTGGACACAGCTAAGCAGCTGGAGTGCTTTTTTTTGCAAAAGCGCCTTCGGTTGTCAGCACAGAAACCAGAACTTCTTGTGAAGGAGGTGAGCGATACTATCAGGAGTGGCATAATAATATCAAGATTTCCTATTATATACCACTGATGATAAAGACCTTTTGTAGGGCAAGTTGTATTGAAGAGTGTAACCAGAGACTAACAATAGCAAGGCACGACACTTCGCTGCATGGTTTTGTGTTACTGGGTGTACAGTAGTCCCAACTCGTGTTAAGTGCGCCCTCCTGTTGGAACTCTAGTTGTTAATAATGGAAGTTAAGATATAAGATATATAACAGTTTTATTTATCACTTTCAATATTAGTAAGGCTGAGAGGGTCTATGTCCCCCGGGGTACTCCCGGAACGTACCCTGGTACTATCTAATATGCCGGACCGTACCTCGCCTACTCCACTAACGAGTCTAGGGAGTCAGTCGCCTACGCCTACTCCCTAATCCTAACCCTAACCATATCAAATAGTGACCAGGGCACGTTCCGGCAGTACCCTGGGGGAATAGACCCTATGAGCATTAGTAAACTTGTCCAATAATTTTAACAAAGCGAATAATAAACAATACAATACAAGTTGCTCTGATATCAGTGAGTATTTTTAATTATGAATATTTTGTTTACAATGACTTAAAAAAACCTTAGTTGGAAATTATATTAAATTAAATTAAAATGAAGAAAGCATAGTTGTTATGATTACATTAATTTATATTCAATCGTCAAAATTTGCACTGGTACATGCAGCATACAGCTACAGCCTCAGTAGTAATAATGAAGTGCTATATATAGGCATTCCTCTATTTTATTAAACTAAATTAAATTCCTAGCTAAGTTCCTTAACTTTGATTGAATTTGTAAAAACTGTCTACAAAACATTCATAATTAAAATAATGACTAATATCAGCACCACTTATATTATTAAAAATTTCAACAGAAGCCTGCACTCAACGCCAGGTGGCGGCATTGTGTAGCTGGTAATCCCTATATATAGGGACTCTAGCTGGTAACAGTACTGATTGTATGCTGCATTTCGTGTATTGATATTGTTAGCCTTTGGTGTAAGTTGTAACTCATTCCAAAAGTTTACATCCAAACATTCAAATTTATGCATTCTGATGGAAGCTTCTGTTGCAATTTCTTGTTAGAGGAAAGTGTAAGTTTAATGTACGTTTTTAGCTCATCTGACATAGTCAGATGCAGCTTGTAAAATCGCATGATCGTCCGTCCGTCCGTCCGTCCGTCCGTCCGTTTGTCCGTCCGTCCGTCCGTCAACAGTTGGGCACAAATCTTAACCGCTCGACGTACGGTCACGATATTCGGCACATCGGGGGGGGGGGATTGTCAAAACGAGTTGGGATGTCGAAGCTGGGGTTCAAAGGTCAAAGGTCAAGAGGTGTAAAAGAAGGGGGAACATTCACTCCTTAACTTAAAGCATCTGTGCATCAGTTGATGATACACAGAAATCTGTGCATCACTTCGTGATACCTAAGGTGCCGAAAGTGGATTTGCACCCAAAGAAACTACTACTTCAGATTAACCTAGTGCCTGTTTCATATTGAAACGTTGATTAACGACAACATACAAAACCCGTAAGGAATACTTGTCCCAAGCGGACCTAAAAACCTAAATAGTTGTTGCCACATTGAAGTTGTTAGGGTTGGTTCAGATGCAATTTATCCTTACACTTTATCTGTTATTTCCCGAATCTTCCACATGTTAACTGGAAAGTTCATCATCTTGATTAAATGTTAGCTACAACGCACGAACACACAATAACCACACAGATGGTAAACGATTTTATACACGAACAAGTTTCTTCGCGAAAAATGGCTGTGTTGTACGTAGACCATCCACTAGGCGGCCCAGTAAACAAGTGAACAGAAATCTAGTTTCGCCTTTCGACTTTCGACCGCGTAACTATTTGGTTTGTGTTTTATTTGTAAATCTCACTACTTAATATGTCGTCAGAAAATACTACGGGACACCTCGTTGATAAATTGGAATCATGTTTTCAGGCAAGCCAGCATTAGCTAAAATTATAATGTAGTCTATATCGTATATGTAGTCTATAATGTAGTCTGTAGATGTAGTCTCTAGTCCGAGTAGTCCGGGGCTGCCAACTCGGCCCTAGTCTAGTTAACATGTCCCGCATTCGGCGGGAGACTCACGCAAATGAGGCTAATCTCACGCTCTCACTTCGGGTTAGCTCTAGAACTATACTATACTCTATAGTATAGGCTAGCCCTTCGCTCCGCCACAGGGCTATAGCCCAAACGGTTAAAGGATAGAGAACATGGGTCCCAATAAAACCAATGTCATTTACATCAATATTTATAAATATAATATTACGCTGTTGCTGCTGCAACGGTACCGTCGCCGATTTTTTTTCTCTTAAAGTCACGTTACTGACGCCTGATTGGTTGATAAGCGCAACGAGCGCTACCTGTCGTCAAAAAGAAAATAATGCGCATCAGTGACCACCAAATCGTCAACAACAAGATGGCGCACATAAGCACAGTGGGGTTAGGGTTAGGGTTAGGGTTAGGGTTAGGGTTAGGGTTAGGGTACCGTTGCAAAAGCAACGGTAGTTATTATTCGCCGATAGATGCGCTGGCATCACTACCGTGACTTTAAGAGAAAAAAATCAGCGACGGTACCGTTGCAGCAGCAACAGCCATAATATTATATCAATATAATAGGTTAGGGTTATGGTTAGGATTAGGGTTAGGGTTAGAATTAGGGTTAGGGTTAGGCACATTGGTTTTATTGGGACCCATGTTCTCTATCGCTTGGGCCGCACAAACTATGTTGAAATTGGCAACGAAACCGCTTCCACTGCTCCACAGACACGAGAAACGGCTCACAGATTGACAGAACGCAAAAATAAATCGGGTGTTCTTTACTGTACTTTTAATTTTCTGTTTAAAATGTAGTTATATTACTTAGAAATTGTTTTAATCCATATATTGTTTTCTTCTGTGTACAGGGCTGCCTTGAGAGTCTTGTTAATCAAGAGCATTTCAATGTTTCAGATTTCTACTGAACAAAAGCAGGTATGAACTACTAGGCTAAGCTATAACGCATGTAAGACTAATGAAGTATGTATTACTATTAGTATTACTAATAACTATATACACTGGAGGTTTCTGTTATTAACTTGCTTCAATTTTTACAATTGTATACATTTTTAGCTCATCTGACATAGTCAGATGCAGCTTGTAGAATCGCATGATCGTCCGTCCGTCCGTGCGAGCGTCCGTCCGTCCGTCACGTCAACAGTTGGGCAAAATCTTAACCGCTCGAGTCACGGTCACGATATTCGGGACGTGGGGGGGTAATCCAAAACAAGTTGGATGTCGAAGCTGGGGGTCAAAGGTCAAAAGTCAAGAGGTGTAAAAGAAGGGGAACATTCACTCTTAACTTGAAGGTATAGGGAGAAATGCAGAATTGCCGCCAAATCTAAACGGCTCGACTACGCTCGCTGATAGTTTGGTGTATAGCATCATGGTAGGAAAAGACCATCTTCTGTGTACGAAATTCGCGAGTGGGTCACCAGGTTCAAAGTTCGCTCACCTGCGCGCACGACTCTCTCACCGAACACTCTCTGTCTTGAGGACATGGCTGCTGACGGGGAGCCAGGGTCGACGTTTAGATTTTTTGGTGCCGGCAATTCTGCATTAGTCCGTTATTTTGAAAGTTGTTATGTGTCAAGCTCGCTATTCCAAACCCGTTCTTATTCATTCTTTATGGCCCATCTATATCGTTATAGGGAAGCCGTTCGTTTATGATATGAAATATACTTTCTTGGCTGGACATGCGCCACAGTTGTAAGTGCTCACGCATAACTACGCTTTTGGGACCTATTCCACCGCCGCCGCTGCGCGATGTTGTCTCAAACATGAAGATCTTGTTGACTCTAGTGTGTTTTGGTTAGAAGCGATATTGTGATCTCGGCGCTGGGTTATTTAGTGATTAGTGGTGCCTAAACTCTGGTATACAATGCATGGATTAATGAGCGGTACGCAACGTGGTACAGGGTAGGCAAATTCTGGGCAAAAGCTAAACTTTGCTGTTTAAGAAGGTTATGCCTCCTTAAATCTATAATTTCTATAGCGCATTCTGTTAACTGCCTCAGTGATGTTATCATGATAACCGTATGCCACCTCGCAGGGCTTACCCTGCAGTAGCAATAAGGTGGTATTTGCGTGGAGCTTGAGCTTGGGACTCTCAGATGGAGCTAAAATGACGTTGATCAGTATTTCTTGCTACCTTCCTGTGCTCGTTTAAATTGACGTATAGCAAGTGATTGGCAGTTCGTCATCTATTCGCGCCTAGATATGGCTTTGTGCGACTAAGGAATGATGATAATGTTGTTTGGATGAGTTGTGTGCTTACTGCTAAATATTTCTGGGTCTTGCAATATAGAGTTGTTGCTCTTAACGCAATATGATCGGATGTACATCCATCATATAATGATTATACATATTCTAATGGAAGCACGGACATTAAACGTAATACAGCTTGCGACAGAATCTTGTCGGCAAGATTTTACATAAACGTCTCTTCCAACGAACAATTCTTTTGAGGAAGGTTTCCTGGATACATCCCTGTGATTCCACTGTTTCTGGCGTGTTATGTGAAATCATTTGGGCACTACCAGGGTTTACGTAGAATCCACACTCCACCTACGAGGTCACCGGCTAGATCGTTAGCTACCACCTAATGAGCGCTGTCGCTCGTTTTCTCTTTTAGTCGCATATCGTTTATCGTACATTTGTCTGTCTAATTGTTATTAGCGAATGGGAAGTGTGCCAATTTATACCAAGTCGTTGATCACGTAACCGAATGTCGGGCACATGGTACGTCCCAATCGACATGACTTCGTGTATGTCAGGTCTTCTGTTTTTAGAACATTTTTTATATGTCTTGATGAATTCTGTTGGTGCGTTTGATAAGTCGATTATTCAATTTTATTTTCATGTATGTTTGTTGAGTGTATGATGCATGCTCTCTAAACAATGTTTTCAATCAAATGTTTGTCTTTTTTTTATGTTATATAAACTAGCAATTACTTAAATGTTTCCTGGTATTTGAGCCATTTTTGTAACATGTATATTTTAATTTAATTGGATTAACATTGCAAACCTGCTATGACGAAAATTCCTTCCATAATATCTGCAATTACATTTTGCTTGTATCTGAAATAAGCTGATGTTATAGCAAATTGCATAGATGCAATCCGTAGCAATTTTTTACAACAGACACCGATAGTAGAGTTTTATTTAGTAGTGGTTGGAGAAGAATATTGCTATCATTCATAAGTCCTTTAAGTAACACATAGAGTGAGAGCAGTGTGTCGTACTTTTTTATTTTTTGACCTCAATACATATGCGCATTATCTGGTGTGTCAGTGCAGCTAGAAACTCAAGAGAGCTTCTTTTTTATTTATTTGAAGCGTAGCGCATGTGAGACAGATAGTAGACTCAAGAGTTTTGTGGCATTAAATACGTATTTGCAATAAGTATAATTTCCTTATAATTATAGCACTTGATGTAATAGAACCTTTGTGTATGGCAAGTTGTATTGAGTAGCTAGTACAGAGAATCACAAACAATCCTGACATAGGGTTCACTGATCACTTCGCTGCATAGGTTTTGATGTATAACTGGGTGTTACAGGTATGATCCCATACTCAGTTGTTTTCCAAGCTCGTCAGAGACGCTCGTGTTTTGTGAACTCTAGTTGTTAATAATGTAAGTTTAAGATATTAAGAAGTAAAACATATAACAGTTTGTATTTATCTCATCATTCAATTTAGTAGGCTGAAGAGAGTCTATCCGTGCATCTCCCGATATCAGTACGCAACTTGTATTGTAATTGTTTATTGATTGCGCTTTGTTTTAATAATACTTGACAAGTTTACTAATGCTCATCAGCCCCGAGGTGCTAGTTCGGTTCTCGGCAAACGTAACCTGGTTACTATCTAAATATGCCGGACCGTACCTGCCTACTCATAACGAGGTTAGGGTCTGTTTCAGCTCGGAGACCTACGCGTACGCCTAATCTTACACTGAATCCATCATTCATAGATGCCTACGGTTGGGGTCCGTTTCCGGCAGTATTCAAGCGAGAAGTACCCTGGCGTAGGGTTTAAATAGAGCCCATGATTAGGAGGATTTAGAGCGGTATAGGCAACTTGACACCCTCCAACTAATTTTAACAAAGCTGAATAATAACATACAATACAAGTTCGCTCTGAAATATCAGTGAGTATTTTTAATCTATGGAATATTTCTGTTTACATGACTTAAAAAAACTTAGTTGGAATTATTATTAATTAAATTATAAGATGAAGAAAGCATAGTTGTTATGATTACATTACAATTTATATTCAATCTCAAAATTTTGCACTTGGGTAATGCAGCATACAGCTAAGCTCGGTTAGATAATAGTAAATGTTTCCTCTATTTTATAAAAAATTAAATTCTGGATTTAATGAGTGAGATGTGGGTCTACAAATACTAAAAAGCAGTCGGCACAAATTAAAAACAGAGTGCGCCTACTACGGTCGCTTGCGATGTGGGTGTTATGTTCTGTGGATATCCTGAGTGAGTATTAGGTCTAGCTGTTTAACTGCCCATGTTTGTATGCTGATTTGTGGTTTTGATATTGGTTAGCCTTTGGTGTAAGTTGTAATCCATTCCAAAGTTTACATCCAAACATTCAATTTATGCTTTCTGAAATGGAAGCTTCTGTTGCATCTTGTTTATAGGAAAGTGTAGTTTAATGTACGTTTTTAGCTCCATCTGAACATGTCAGGACTTGCGCTTGTAAAATTCGCTGATCGTCCGTCCGCTCGTCGGTTTGTCC